AGAACTTATTCGTGTAGCCAAACACCACCTGTTCCCCAAAAAGCTATGGAAATAAAAATAATAAATCAATAAAAAGCCCCTCTGCTTTCACACACACCATTCTTCCCCTGTCACACTCTGGGATGGAGTGTGGATTTAGACCCAAGAATTTCCAGGTGCCTGAGGATCAACTTCCTCCCAAAGAAAGACAGAAACCACCTGCTTTAAAAGATTTATCTACTGTTGTCTAATGACTCTAAAAACAACTAGCTCTCAATATTTTGTTATCCATATAGGACATTTCTCACAAGCAGGTTTATTTAATCTGAAAGAATAAAGATTGATTTTCCTGTTACTCGTTCTAGTGATTTTACGTATTTAAATTACAAACTTTTCTAAGAGGTGACTCTATATAATGAAAGGTAAGAGGCATCTATTTAAGGGCCAAAGTATTCAACAGTTAGTGGAGATGATGTTTAAAAATACCATTTTTTGAGGTTTTTTAAAATTTTTTTCTAATTTTGAGGAAAATGGGAGTGAAAAAGTCAGAAGTGTGTTTTGTTTTACCATGAAACACAGGTACAATGAAAACACAGGGACTCACTAAGTAGAAGACACCAAAGGAGATTCAGAAAGGAAGTCGGCTCTCCCCAACCCGGCTCCACCCCCCGCCACCCTCTGTGCCACGCCACGGCAATGGCTCTGTGAAAGGTGCAACCCCCTAGCTTCGTGTCTCCACTTTTATTGCCTTTATTTTGGGAGAAGAAAGTTACTTACTGTTTAACAAGAAAACTTTGCCCAGGTCAAATAAGATATCTTGGGGAAATAAAACCAACCATTCCACAGTACAATCATTTTGACAGGAATCCTCAAAGTAGGTCATCCATTTCTTACAGTTTAAGAATCTGTAAATCCCACAATATTCATGTAAAAGGGAAGTTTATGAAGTATGTTACATTAATAGGATCCATTGCCTTGATTCTGAGATGTCATACCTTTTCAAATGCTCCATTGTATTATCAACAGCTTCTTAGAGACAAAGCAAAAAAGAAACCGTATTTAAAATGAACA